CAACAGAAGATGGGTGTTACAAAAGGACAATGACCCAAAGCATAGAGGTAATTCAACAACAGAATGGCTTAAACAGAAGAAAATACGCCTTCTGAAGTGGCCCAGTCAGAGTTCTTACCTCAACCCGATTGAGATGCTGTGGCATGACCTCAAGAAAGCGATTCACACCAGAGATCCCAGGAATATTGCTGAACTGAAACAGTTCTGTAAAGAGGAATGGTCACGAATTACTCCTGACCGTTGTGCACGTCTGATCTGCAACTACATGAAACGCTTGGTTGAAGTTATTGCTACCAAAGGAGGTTCAACCAGATATTAAATCCAAGGGTTCACATACTTTTTCCACCTGCACTGTGAATGTTTACATGGTGTGTTCAATAAAAACATGGCAACATTTCATTCTTTGTGTGTTATTAGTTTAAGCAGACTGTGATTGTCTATTGTTGTGACTTAGATGTTGATCAGATCACATTTTATGACCAATTTGTGCAGAAATCCATATCATTCCAAAGGGTTCACATATTTTTTCTTGCAACTGTATGTCTCTTTTTTGGTTCTAGGTTGAAGACGACTTTCCTGGAGCTAGCTTGAAACACTGCACGTACTGGCTTATTGGCAATTGTGTTCTGGGGACTAGTTGCACCTCCACCACACAGACATCAGTTCTGGGCTGCCTAATGTCAATTCTGTGCCTAAAATACATGGACATGGCAATGGGCATATTGAGCTTCCCCTTGTAGACAGAACCCATAGCCCATAACCCAACACGTAGATTCCCAGATGTTTTAAAACTATGGCTTCCATGATACTGTGCCATTCTAAAGCATTCTAGAGGCATGCAAAGCATCATGGGACAACATCCAGGGGTCTTCCTTTTGGGCACCCCTGCTCTAGACAGTCAAAACCTAACAAGTGACTTTGCTCCAGTGTCTCTCATTTTGAAGGGTTCGATTCACTTTTATTTTGCACAAATGCTTGAATTTGATCTGCATGGCTGGGGCATTTCAAAAAAAGAAAGAAAAAAAATGTGAATATAAGGAAAATTCACGATTTTCCCTAAAATAAAATAATTGGGTGTAAGTTTATATTGAAAAAAAGGGACAATATGATGCCTGCAAGGGATACACAGAAACATCAACCTTTCACACAACTGAGCTGGGATGAATGTTGGCCAGATCTCCTGGGAATGAAGAGGAACACCCAGACATTCCACATAGAATTCAAGAGTGATCATCTATATTTTCCATATTTAAATCACCAAACATTTACAATATTGGAAGGTAAACAGATGATTAGGAGCCTCACTTGCTTAGTAAACCTCCTTTAAAAAAAAAAAAAAAAAATGTTTTAAATACATAAGTATCCCCTTGCCTCCCCCAGAAATTGCCCTTCATTTAATTTAAATAGCACCTATAAGGGGCAATACCTATACAAAATATTGCTTTACCCCACTTTTTTAATTGGTCTTAAAAATATTACCCTATCAATATGGCAGTAGATGCCAAGGATGCCAGAGATTAGTTAAATTCACTATGAAATGTCACAGTGATGTATCTGATTGGCTCCACAGTCTCCCTTTACTTCCCTCCCAGAACGAAGTGCCAATTTATTATATGTAACCCAGATAAAAAAACCTATGGAAGAATTGTGTATTGGATTGTCATATTGTGGTATATTATTGTAAACTTGTTTAAATAGGGGATTCTACACCTCTTGTATGTGTCAACATTTTCTTTAGTTCTCTGTTAATTACTTCT